TGTATCGCTGGTTGGTGGCCATGTTTGCGTGTTTGCTTGTCGCTAGTGGTCTCTCCACCTTGTGCCTTTTTCTGTCTCTTGTTTCTTGTTATTTTCGGCCTGGTACCTTTTTGTCCTAGCTCTTCTTATTTTATTTTCTCTTTCCTTACTGTTTCCTTTTATTTTATTCTCTTTTTCTCTTTTTCTCTCGTTTTCTGTGCCAGATGGCCTTGTCTCTGCTTGCGTTGTGAAGTACCAAGAATGGACCAAGGGGGTGTACCTCATTCTCTCCGGCCCGTGATGGTGACCCCTAGTCTCAGTTGTTACCTCGCATAGCGCGCAGAGGGAGTGGAGGACTCCAGAATATCTGTCGTTGATTTCTATTGACTTGCGGACCCCTCGGGGCCATTTTGTTTGAGTGTACCTTTTTAGGGTAAGTTAGCCTGCGACCACGGGAATCGAACGCGTCGAGTGTTGTATCAATACGGACATACGAAGGTACTGGGTAGAGAGAGATCGGAACGGTTTTTGATGTGAAGACAACAACAGCAACAACAACAACAACAACAACAACAACAACAACAACAACAACAACAACAACAACAACAACAACAACAACAACAACAACAACAACAACAATGCATGCAGGTTGCCGGGGCCCTGCAAATGGGAATCGTGCACTTAATGTTTCTCCGTCGCCCTGTAGAGATCGACCACTCTTGTTGTGCCTCAAAGATCGACGACGAATGTGGATGGAATTTCGGAAGCAGCTCCTCTTGAGTGATCTTCGTTGGTCTTTCGACTACACCTCGTCCGGAATCTTCGGCACCTGGCGTGCAAAGCGCACAGCCCACCCTGCGGTCGCACAACGTTTGTTTTCGGGCGACGGAGCGCGTGTCGCCCCGATAAATCTACCTACCCACGTTCGGGGACAAGACAATCAACCGCGATATCTCGAGCGAGGATCTCCCTGTCAGAACCCACACACTTCAGTCAGTTCGGAGTACACGCTAGGGGCTTCTGCAGTGTGTGCGTGCATCGGGTGCATCTTCGTATATCTTACCTCACTCCGACAGTTGGCTCATATATCTTGTTGCCAGTTCCGATCTGCTCGGTTTGCCCCGCTATGAAGTTGGCAATGGACGTTTTGCCACCTTTCACTGGCCCACACACCACCATCTTGAGGGGCCTGTTGTTGCTGCTCATGTTTCCTTTCTTTGTTGGCGTGAGCAGACCACGACGTGAACTGACGACGGATGTGATGATGTGATGATCAGCAGTCATCATCGTGAGCAAGAAATTCAAAGGTGACGCCGCATTTTACTTTCGGTGGTGCGTCGTCTCTCTGTCTCATCTGCGTGCCCCCTTGACGAACTCCCCTCGTACACTGCTGCTGTCGAGATCGTAGAATCATTGGAAGCACATGTCAGGACAACGTTGGTGTTGTTTGCATAGTATCGTGGAGGCGGTTTGAACACTGGTGAATAAGTAAAGTTGTTGTTGTTTTTCTCCCATCATTGGACTCTCTCTGTCGTCTGCCCCTCTGGCCCCTATCCTCCACTTCTACTCTAGCTAGACGACCCAACCGGGGTCACGTAGGAGGGGGGGGTTGGACCCCCTCCTGCGGTTCATGCCTGAGGTATTTTTATCGCGAGAAGGGTACAGCAATCCCTTCCCTCGCGACTTACGAAGTCGATTATGGTTTACTAACAAACGAGCTTTGCAGCGCGTCGCTTTCATCCTAGACCAGGATTTATTTAGTGAGAAAAAAACTCTCTCTGTCGGGACTCGAACCCATGACCTGGCCCTTAGCAGGCTGCGAGGCTACCCACTAGACCACCGGGGGGTGTGCAGCGGTGTAATAACCCGCGTATGGGTGAAATTGGAGGAACCGCGCAATGAATGACTCATGGAACGAATTTGGATAAATCAAACACCCCTCCTCATTTGTTCCACGCCGTGCGCAGAGTATAGTTTTGGAGGAGCTCAATGAAATTTACTCTTTGGTCCGTTCGCGACTCTTTGTGAACACCTCCACTCACGGCACAAGGTAACAGAAACGAACACACAACCGCAAAGTATAAAGGGTGTGGTCGGTTCAGGTTGTACGAGACATACAAGGGTCGTCGTGAAGGATAAGTTTTCGAACAAGACCTCGAACTCAATGAGAACGTCGGATATTCTCGAGACGGCCGCCACATAATCTTGCTACCTTCCAGACGCAGTCAGCCGGAACAACTCACTAGCTAGCCTCAAAAAGGGTTCCTTTTGCGCAATCAAGAACAGACCGTGGGCGTTAGATCAGCGATCCCCGCGGCAGTCTCGCACCGCAACAACTGCACGCACCCCACAACAAGCGTTCTTGCCTAATGTGGAATTTCACTTGATGCTTGGAAGAAAAAATACTTCAAACGCGGATGGGTGCGGATGCCTGAATAGAAATACAAATCAAGCCAGAAGGAGACAGCAGTGGCCCAAGCCAGAGGCAATAAGTCCGACGGCACACTCGAGGATATCAAACAACAACGACATTCAAGAACCACCAAATGCATGCACGGGACGGATTTCCCGTTGTACACCCCGTCACAATTGCACACTCTAGTACCGCATGAAGCTTGCGTACAAACTCTATGCACATTTCACCGTTGTTGTATGTTTGGATGCAAAGCCAACAACCCGGAAAGCGGGACATAATCTCAACGTTGTTTCTCTGCACCACTTCTTACTCTACAAGCAACCAAACGTATCGCAAAATATGCCATAGGACATTCGCTCTCCACCCCGGTACCCCCGCCCGGCCGCGCGCGAAAGCGCGGGCTGAAGGTCTATGGAAGAAACAAAGACTACATACGGCAGTAGCCGCGCTGACCGTGAATACTCTCCTCCTGCGGTATCTCTCGGGCAACAAGCTCTGTTTTGTTTCGATTGGCGTCGTAACCGCGACGCCCACGCATGTGTGCCGAGGGTGGGGGGGGGAGGGGGGGGGGGCGTGATGCCTGCTGCTGCTATGATTGAGTTCAGCAAGGGAGCAGCAGCGCCCTAAGTACACTCCGTGACGGTGTCACTCTTGAGGGTGCGTTCATCCAGCCATGGCTTGTCGTAAACTACGAGGGTGCGTTCCTCCTGCGACAAAAAGGATTAAGAGCAGCAGCAGCGGCGGCGGCGGTTCAGTGTAGAGGAAAGCGATACATCGGTGTATGCGGTCACGTCGACGAACCGAACATGAGCCGTCACTCGGAGGCGCCGCAAATCCGAAGGCTTTCTGGTGGACGCGCACTTGTCAGGCGCCAGACGCCCTTCTGCCGAATGCCGAAGGTACGGCACAAGCTAGCGGTGTATGGTAATCGACGAACAAACAGCGGAACACAAATACGAGTCGAAACACGTGCACCTACGACACCCCATTATCGTCGCTTGTGAAAGCTTCGAAACGAGTAAACCACCACAAGCGAGTTCCACCGCAAGCGAGTTCCACCGCAAGCGAGTTCCACCGCAAGCGAGTTCCACCGCAAGCGAGCTCCACCGAAAGCGAGTTCCACCACAAGCGTTCCACCTCATGCGAGCTTAACAGTGCCCACAAGCAACAGGAAAATAAATTCGCTTGGACAACGCGAGCACACCGCACTTGTGTGCCCGTGCACACGGTGGGGGCCCTAACGTAGCCAGGTACCCGCTCGAGATAGAGAGCACGGCCGGCCAAACTTCTGTCAACGTCGCTCGGGGAGAAACAGAGAACAAAAAGACGGGTTTCTCACCAGACACTCGCCAGCGGCGTCATTTCCTCGGTAGTGCAACGTGTACATCATGCCCGCAACCACTTGAACTTCGGCCTTGACCTGGATGTAGGTGAGTTCTGAGTTCTGCTCCGTGAGGTATTTCGCTGCGAACTGCCACAGAGCGAAATACACCACACAAGGATAAGACACCAAAGGATGGAGTTGGCAATGGTGGGAGGAGGCAGGCGGGATTGGTGGGGGCGAGGGATGTCCTAAATAGGACACCAGAAAGTAAGGGCTCAGATTGAAGAGTGGGTGGTGGATGGGGGAGTATCACGACTTGTCGGTAAGCATTTGAGCCATACATGGTAGGGTAAGCAGTGTGCGACTCGCTCTCCAGTGACCGCTCCGTTGCCGCCAACAATGGCAATAACGCGGAACAGAGCTCTCGTCTTATTTTCGAATGCACGCCAGAAGAGTACGGCCGTGAACCTCGAACTAACTCGCACGACTTTTCTCGATGGCATGGAAAAAAAAACTCCGACCAAAGTAGTTTCCTGCTGGACGCTTATTCCGAACAGCCTTTGCCTCGACTCACCTCGCCAAATATCTTACCATTCCACAACAAGGTGTTACCGTGGATACACTCTTCAGCTGTCTACGTGGAAAAACACCTCATACATCACGCACGACCACAAAGATCTATATCTTCACAGCTCTTTTCCACCAACAAGACGCTTCTCGAAGCGCTCGAAACACGAACTTCTAAGGGGCGCGTCTACTTCAGGGACCAAAACCGCCCTCCATGAACCACAACTCACTTCGGTGACTTCGCTGAGATGCTTGTCGTTTGAGCCCGTCACGTCCTGCTTGGCCCCCACCAACGGCGCCGACGCGACCGGGCCTCGGCCATCCATCTGGTCACGCGGGCGCAGGTACGTGGGTCTAGTGGGTCTCTCGGGCCGATCGCCGCGTTTCTCAGCTGCTGCTGCTTCCTTGTCCGAAACTGTTGTCGTTGTCGTCTCTCCAGCGAAAACGGAAGACCCCAGTCCAGACAGAAGCAGCGCAAGCAAGGGCCCGAATCTCATCCGTGAATCTTGCAAGTGCCGAGTGAAGAATAAGTGAGGTTAATCCGCTGGCCGAAACACAAAACGATAAACAGGGGTGGGGGGTGGGGGCAGGCAAGCTTGTTTCTTGTTTCGTGTCGGCGCTGTTTACCAGCCATCGCAGGGGTTATACTACCACGAGTTGTGCAGTCTGGAAGACCCATGATGACGGACTCACTTTTCAATTGTTGCTTGTGGGACAGGAGCGCTTTGCTGGTCCTTGCTGTGAGGTAGGGATGAGCATGTGGGGTGGAATCCATACCTCAATGGGGGGATGCTAGTTAAGGCCCTGACCCGTGCTTTATCCTTCAAAATCAGGAGTACCTCGTACGCGTTATCCCATCGTTTATCGACGGTTGTGCGGACAAGCAAGTTGTCCACGGCTAAACCTCAAGCACGGGGCAGATCTGCTCCTGTTCATAACGGGCCTAATGTCGGCCACTAGCCAGGTTGAATGAAGCCTTTCTACAATAAAAAGTTCGAGAGTAGCACGTAGTTCGCGAAGAAGGTGGAGAGAGACAACACTAAACGCGCTTTCCGCTTGAAACTGAACTCCAGCAACGGCGGATCAAACCGCCAAGAGTCCACCTACTCGAAGTCCAAAGCTGTAGTAAGCTACTTATCCCCCCCCCACAAAACTATGCAAGGAAATAAGAAGATAGTGAAAGAACTCGAGGGGGCGCAGATGAAAGCAGCGAAAATCATCCTTGGATGCTCCAAGCGCACAAGTAATGCAGCCGTCAGGGCAGAATTGGGGATCCAATCCCTACGGTCGGGAAGAGACGCGAGGAAGCTGACATAGCAGTATCGCATGTGCGGGATGGGAGAGGAGAGGTTGCCGAGGATTGTATGGGAGGCGAAGTGGGCTAACAAGAAGCGGGGTAGACAACCCACGGAATGCGTCAAGGTTGCAGAGGACGTGTGGAAGAGGTTCGACATCGACGAAGATGAAACGCTGGAAACGGAGGGTCTAAACGGGTTCAAGGAGAAGATATCTGTTGCTTGTGCCGAGAGAGAACAGAATCTGAGGAAAGAATCCAAGGATAAGGAGGTTCTAGAAGTGTACGGAATGTTGAAGGAAAGAATAGGGTTTAAGGACTACCTACATGGACCAATGGATGCAGGAAAAACCTTAAGGTCAAATTCAGGACCGGGGACATAGGCTTTCGAGAACGTCGACGNGAAGCGGGGTAGACAACCCACGGAATGCGTCAAGGTTGCAGAGGACGTGTGGAAGAGGTTCGACATCGACGAAGATGAAACGCTGGAAACGGAGGGTCTAAACGGGTTCAAGGAGAAGATATCTGTTGCTTGTGCCGAGAGAGAACAGAATCTGAGGAAAGAATCCAAGGATAAGGAGGTTCTAGAAGTGTACGGAATGTTGAAGGAAGGAATAGGGTTCAAGGACTACCTACATGGACCAATGGATGCAGGAACAAAGCTTAAGGTCAAATTCAGGACCGGGGACATAGGCCTTCGAGAACGTCGACGAAGACATAGGACGGTAGACGAGGAAGACGACGAGTTCAAATGTGATTGCGGCTTCGAATGCGAAGACCGTGTTCATGTAGTCGCGGAATGTCCGTTGTACAAGAAGGAGAGGGAAGTGTACGTGACTGAGCTGGGAAAAATAGATGGAACGTACAGGGAGATGTTTGAGGCATGGAATAGAGAAGAAAGGACGGTAGCTGTACTGGGGCATAGATGTGGGAAGGGATATCGTTAGGATAGACAGACTAGGGAAAACGTTTTGAGCCACCTTTGGCAAAGTAGAAAGGAACGATAGGCCGTCGGTGATTGGTCCTGCGGGAACAATGCTCCGTCCTCTCGAGGACGCGTGGTCAATGGTGTAACCGCTAAGACATGCAAAACATTAGAGTACGCCCACAAAACTCAACGGATGCCTTGGCGGTGTCGGAGATGGGAATTCGCGGGGAGAATTACTCCCGCAGCAGCTGTTGTGGAGTCTACAGAAGTGTTTCCTCCCCATCATGACGAAAAAATATACCCCATTAGGTGCACTGCCACTAAACACGTGCGACTCGCTGTGTTTTCGTTGCCAAGAGGAAGACAAGGCCGTCGCACTACCCACGGCAGACTCGTTCACGGACTTGGTGCCGTGTTTCTTGGGAAGATGTGTCGACTACCGGCCACAACGACTGCTTGTAGACAACGCGCATAGTCTAGACCATGGGAAAACTGTTTGGCACCAAAGACGGGCGCCGAACTATATTACAGGAGGGAGGAGGTGAGCGTATCGTCTGTCTTGCCACTGGCCTAGGTTCCTTGAGCATAACTCGCCTACGTCTCGTCACTACCCCTATCGTGTGCTGGAAACTGCTGCTTTGACCCGCCACGGCAACTCGTTGAACCAGTCCTTGAAGCTACGTAGAAACAGCGGAAAACATCAGATAGATCGGAACTACTCCCGATCACTAAAAACACCACTAGCACAAGCATCGCTGACGAAATAAAGTACATCTCCCTATCGCTGTGATATTCAAGTACCACATTCAAGCGGCTCGCCCCTCCTTTTCTCCTCCTCACCTGTTGAACGCAAGCTGTGAGTTGGAGTTGGTTCAAGAGGGCTGTGAGATGGCTAGAGAGAGGTGAGCCATATCAGCCATCCCGCTGGGGCGGCCACGCTGAGTAGACAACTTGGCGCTCCATGGATTTTGGGGGGTTCCATTTTCTGGCTTGCGTGCCCCCACGTGTTCGCTGGCGACGGCACTGACCACCGCTGCAACACGATTGCGTTAGCCATGGAGGACTCGAAGCTCCAACGATTGCACGACACGTTGAAGAAGCTAGCGCCTAAGGGTAATCATGTGAGTCGAATGTCCTTGGTCTGTCCATCGACGCGCTGGGCCTGCCTTGTTCGCGAGATCAAATGCGGCGGAATCGTTACCTCCACTCGTCTCTGCCAAGAGACAGGGCATCATGACAACGTACGGCATCACGGCATCCCAGCACCCAGGCAACACTCTTGATACACAGCTGGCCGCAAAGGATGCATCTAAGATGTTCAGAGCCAGCCATTGTTAAGTCACGTACTGCCGTGACGTGGCCAGCGAAGCTCCCCGTAGCCGCTCGTGCAAAGCACCGGTGGTGGTTGTGCTCCACCACGACTCCGCTGCCCACCATCTTCTGGTTCGTCTACCGTGCTGATGTAAATGGACAGGACCACACCCTGTTCGCTAAGTGCTGGGCAGGAGAAGTGGGTTGGTGCATATCGGTTGCGGGTGTTGTTCTGGTCACCTGGAGCTGTGGTTTGTACAGTAGCACGCAGTTTTTCCCCTCGTCGTATGCATACATCTTTATATGTTTGAATCGCGGGGTAGGGGCAATACACGCCCGTCTCAGGATCGAATCACCACCGGGGGCAAATCGCCGTCGATATCGACCGCTTGTGCTTCCAAATGAATCCTCCGGTTGTTCTTTTCGCAGGACCCTCAAATTCCTCTTGATAACAAAATCTAGTCGTTGTGTTGGGCCGAGCCAGTCGTGGTGTTGGCTTCCGACGAAGTACCGTAGGTTGCACAAGATACTACACCCCCCGAACCGATTTTCAAAGCTCGTTTTACTTGATGACGAATAACATGCCGAGTTTAATGATAAGTTTTCGGAAAGTTTCAACGAGACGTTTCCAACGCCGCCATGCTTGCCTCCGTCATTGTTTTCCATGCCGAGAAACGAGCTTTGAAAGCCGGCCCCGGGGTGTCATACCTCATGCAACCCACGGTATTGATTATGCTCAAGATCCTGGGAGCCTAGCCGGTTCCTTTCTCCCCTTATTTGGCTGCTTTAGCTCGATAACCATCACATGCATCATAGTGATTCACGAGCGGGCATTCAGTCTATTGCATAGTTAGCTAGTGACGTCCGGTCTAGTGGTATCCTCGTAATCCGCTTGTTGCAGAGGTCGTGAGTTCGAATCCCCATGGGGTGGAAAATTTACGAAATTTGCGGGTGAAAGCGAAACATAGCTAACAAGCTCTCGTGAGTACCAAGCTTCGACGTTAGCACCGTTGACGAGGGAAAGGGACGGCTGGACCCTTCTCGCGATAAAAATAAAATTCAGCACGCACCGCAGGAGGAAGGTGGGGCATGAAAAGAAATAAAAAGAAGAATGAAGCCCTGGTGTTTACCCCCTCCTGTGTGATCCTGGATGGTTGCAGTTGTACGAAAAAATACACTGAAAAGCGTAGTACACTCTCACCACGAAAAATGGGGGGACTGTCGCCATAATAAATAGGATGAAAACACACAACACACACATCCTGCAGTCGATGCGCACCAGAGCAAGAAGCTACAGCAACGGCTCCGTATCCAACGATTGCACTCACTTCCTTTCTACTTTAATGTTTTTTCTGGAACTAGACGCGTGACACGTACAGCGCCCCCAGCCGCCGCTGCTCCCACACCCTGTGTCCCTTTCCCAGCGAGTGATCATGCGTGTGGTGCAGATTGTCGCCTTCCGGGGGGGAGGGGGGGGGGGGGGTACTCATAGTCGGGCATGCCGTAGTCGTTAGACCATTGACCTCGCATCCCTACAAAGCCGGGACGGAGCACGCCGGGTTCTCACC